TCCCTGGGAATTGGTTATCTAATCAGTGAAAGGGCCCTCAAGTTATCAGATTGTGTTGAGTGCCTCCATGGAAGTAGAAGAGTTGGTAGAAGGCCCTCTGACATTCAGGCAGGGTTGAACTTTTCCATGGTAGCTTACCCCAGGGAGAAGGCCAACGCCAGGGAGATAGGCCATGTCTACATCTTCTTGCCCTGACCAGAGTTCTTTCTGCATATGAATGATAATACCGTTTGCTCTCCAAAGTTTTCACTGTGTCATTTCATTTTTTTATCCTTCTCTAGAACATGTCTGTGTGCATATGTGTGCATGCATGTGTGTATATGTGTAACTCTACCCTTTCAAACTGTGAAATCAGTGTATTCCCTTGCATACCCATACTGTTTTTAGACTACATACTTCAAATGACATTACTGTCTGAGAAAAGAGAATGATTTGGGTCATGGACAATACTGATCCACCAAAAATTGTCTTTTGAAATGAAATCCTCTTGGAAGAACATGGGTCCTTTAAACTTAACAAGTTTTTTGTTAAAAACTAAGACAAGTCAATAAAAAACAAAAAGGAAAAGCCATATTGGAAATTATGAATGATAATTGATGATATGAAAGTGGCTAAATGATCCAAATGTTCACCAATGAGTACATGGATGAATAAATCCTTATATATCTATGTCAATATCTATATCTATTCATCAATAACACAGCCATAAGAAGGAATGAAATACTGATAAATTTACAGCATAGATGAATCTTGAAAATATTCTAAGTTCAAAAACCTAGACACAAAATGGTACCTACTCTATGATTCCAGTTGTATGAAATATCCAGAGTAGATAAATCCATAGAGAGAGGAGGAAGACTGGTAGTTACTGAAGACTGAGGGGAGGGGAAATGTTGGAAGTGACTGCTTTAACGACTATTAGGATTTCTTTTGGGGTGATAAAAATGTTTTGGAACTACATAGCAGTGGTGGTTGTGCAACATTATGAAAATATTAAATGCCACTGAGCTGTACATTTTAAAATGGTTAATTTTATGTTAATGGTTAACAGTATGCTTTTAAACAAATTTGCAAGAAAGGAAATATGTTAGAGTCATTCTGTCACCACATTCAGCCCCTTTTCCTAATGAAGAAAAACAGAGTGTAGGACCATTTTGGAGATGTGTCCTATAAACTCTTTTTTTCTGGTACTGGGGATCAAACTCAGGACCTTGAGCTTTCGAGGCAGGCATGGCTCCACTGAGCTAAATCCTCAGGCCTAGAGATGTGTCCTATAGGCAAAAAGATCAAAACACTAAAAGACTGAGGGATGACCTTCTCCTATCCCCTACTTTTGCAAGAAGTTATGCAGTAGACCTAGGAATAATTTGAGAGTCAGCTTGGTATCCAAGTTGCTTGATTCTTATACCAGTGCCTAATCTAGAAGAGTGCACTAGCTCCTGACAAACAGCAACACAGAATTCTCAGGTGCTCTTATGGTTTGGTTCTTAAACGTTCCTCAAATTCCCATGCATAAGGGCTTGGTCACTAGCCTACAGTTCTATTGGGAGGTGGTAGAACCTTTAAGAGGTAAGGCCTAGTTGGAGGAAGTTAGGTCACTGAGGTGTGCCTTTGAAGGAGGTATTGGGACCCTGACTCCCCTTCTCTCTTCCTTTGCTTTCCAGCTGCCATGAGATGAGATGCTTTACTTCACCACTGTTATGACATATCTAGATGTCCCCTTAAAGCCTCATGCACTAATAGGTGGGGCTTTTGGGAGTGACTGGATCACAGGTGTGTGATACTGGATCAGTCTGCTGATTGGTTAACATAGTTCTGGATATGGCTCTGAGTGGATTTACTGAAGATGAAGACTCACCCTGGGGGTGAGTAGCACCAACCAATAGCTTATAGCCTGGATAGAATAAAAAGGGAAAGGAAAAGGAAGTCTGCTGCTTCTTGCATGACATGCCAAGAACTGTCTCTCCTCTGCCATGCCCCTCTGCCATGCTGCCCTGTGTTGGAGTTACACGACTGTAGACTGAAACCTCAACAAAAACTGTAAGCTAAAATAAACTTTTCCTCCCTTAGCTTGTGTATGTTGGGTATTTTTCCCACCCATGAGAAAGTAACTAAAACAAACACCTTCTCCCTGCTTTCTACAGGTCCTAAAATAATAAGGCCAACTGACCATGGACTGAAACTTCTGAAACCATAAACCAAAACAAACTTTCCCTTCTTTTAAGTTGATTTATCTCAGGTATTTGTCACAACGATAGAAAGCTAATACAGACACCTGACAAAAGTGTGCTAAAAATTTTTCAGTACTGTCTTTTCTACTATGCTTTGGACTAATGTGATCATAATTGTAATAGTAATAATAACAATTGTGATAAAAAGATAAAATATGCATGTGGGATAATACATATGTTAATTAACTCAGCCATTCCACTATATATATATGTATATCTCATATCATATATTGCACCTGACAAATACTTTAAATAGTTTTGTTCATTAAAAATAAAAATTTAAAACACAAGAAACTAATGATATCATTTATTATACTTTTATTAGGTGTTTGTACAGTTAGGATTGGACCTGTCTATTGGGGTTGGACCAATGGCTGTAGCCATTGTCTCTTAAGTAATACATCCGAAACATAGTTTCTAGACCTTTAGATTTCAGAAGCTAAAATAAACTTCAGAAATTATATAAGGTAGCCATATTTTATTTTGCCAAGTATGAACATTAACAAATACATAATATAAGAGATAAACACTACTATTTCTTACCATGATTATGAAATCAAATAAAATATTTCATACCCCAAAAATAGAAGAATCTAATCTCAGAAGAGAGGACAATCTCATAAGTGGATTTGTTTAGTTTTATGAAAATTTCTTTAGCCATTTTGCTGTCCAGGAAGATGTCATAGTGGCAGCTCAGATTTGGTCTTTGCTGATGGCCATTTGGGTTACCCCGCAACACGGAAAGCAAAATATGTATTGGCGAAGGATTGCCCATCTTGTTATACCAAGCTTTGCCTCCATTTCTGCCACCATGACTGCTTTGCACATGAGACTATTGAGAAAGTACTGGGGTGGCTGCAGAAAAAGTTGACTGACATCTACCAAATAAGTCATCTTGTCCACCAGATTATTGAGATCCTCTTCCTCAGTATGCCTTGTAGTAGAAAAGTATGTAAATCTTGAATATCTTCATATTTTTTGCTCATTCCTAGAAATTACCCACCTACTTCTACAGACTTCCTTGTTATCTTTCTCCCATTCTTATTCTTTCCAAATACCTTAGCTACTGTCAACCCTCCGGGCAGTAAATTGTTTATAGGTGTAAATTGGTATATGAAACTGTGTCTCCTTGGTCATAAGATGGATATGTGGATATAGTAGCTACAATTTGGCTTGCTGGAAGGACTTTCCTCCTCCAGTCTTTCAGGGATACCCCTAAACAGTCTGTAACATAACTAGCTCTCAGTATGGTTAATGACAGTAGACTGGGAAACATAACTAGAACAGCCTGTGTTTTCTCTTCCTCTGCCAATGAGTAACAGAGAACTCTCCAGGTTGTCCCTTCCAGACTTGCTTGGACCATCTTACTCAGACCATTTCCATTGGACAATGGAATGCTTTTGTACACATCATGTTTTGGGATTTGGTCAATCTAATAACATAAAGTTCATGGTAGGCACCCATTTGCTGTTCCATAGCCAGGTGTTCAGTACTTTCTAGGCTCAGTAGCAATTCTCTATCAACCTTCCCATTGGATAGCTATTGTTGGAGAACTTGCCACAGCCATACTCAAAACTTGAAGGGAAATATTTTGGGCTTCTCAAATTAGCTTAGCCAGAGACATCACTCAGCATTTCTTGTGCTCTAGACATTTCCAGTCTGATTGAATATGATTAGTCATAGGACTGAGTGGATAGCAGTTTGAATGGTAGTCTGATTCTTCTGCAAAGGTTTTCAAAATCAAAGCTGGAGGCCTCAGGACTTGAACCAGAAAAGTACAATTATGTTGTTTTAGACCCCAAAGAGGCTCACCAAACCTAGGCCTCTTTGAGTAAAGTGGATCAGATAAAATATTTGTCTCATTAGAAGAGACAATGTGTGATACTCCCAAGCTCCTTATACCTGGAACTGTTACTGCTCCTTGTATCCAAATTCAAGTAATGCAACATCAGTAGTGCAATTGGGAAGTGTGACATTCTTCAGGATATCAAGGCAATCAAGACCCCCTGGACTGCATTGTGAGAGAGGACAAGAGAGTGGGCAGAGCCCACATAAAGTATATAGTTGTCCCATTCACACAAAGGCATCCTGTTTGTGCTTGTCTTTTCAGATCCCTTCCCTGGATTCTGGGATAATTATACATGATGATTAAGCAGTGCCATCTGGTTCCTACCACCCTGTGATCCCATTATTTCTATAGAAACCAGGAAGTTAATGCCAGCTTCCATCACTACCTCCTGTATGACATCATCACTTGGGAGTCTTTCAAGGACACAAGTGTTTTCCTTATCAATAATTTCTAGATGCCTTGGTAAAGTATCATCCAGATCTTTTTAAGGGTCTACTTGGGAGATGATGATAATTTGAGTGTTCATGTTGGTAGCACATGCCATGAATTACTTGTGTCTATTTTTCCCTATCAAAGAGTTTGTTTGTGCTTTCATGAAATATGTGGGCATCTCAATCCCCAAATCCCATTTTTAGTGTCATTTTTTCTAAAACTATGCTGTATTATTTAAGATCTTGGCAAGAAACAGATATGTCTTAGCCTGTTTCATGTTGCTATGTAAGATACCTGAGACTGAGTAAGTTATGAAGAAAAGAGCTTTATTTAGTTCCCAGTTTGCTGGTTAAGAGTCCAAAATTGAGTGGTCCTATCTGGGGTCCTCTGGTGAAGAGCCTTTTGCATCATAATGTGCATAATGACATGGTGGATGATGACACAGAGGAACATGGGCTGGAGCACCAAGTTGTGAGTACAGCAGATATCAGAGATGTGGAAGTGACCTTGTGTTTTTGCAGCCTGCTCTCTTGGTAACTAATTCAGCCCCCAAGACCTAATCCACTCCCATATCATTGATCCCTTCTGATTACTATGCCCCAATGAACTAATTACCTAATTACCTACTAGGCTCCATCAGTTAAAGGTCCATCTCTTCTCATTTACATTATGCTGGGGACCAAGCTTCTTCCAGCACATCAAACTTTGGGGGAGAAACATATCCAAATTGCAGCAAGATGATTCACTTACACATGATGAAATTATAGGGTTTAATGGGGGAAGCTACAGTTACTATTATGTTTGAACAGGCAAGAGAAAGAACTGTTCCAGAAACAGAAGCATTTATGGGAGGAGAATGCTTAGCAGCAACTATGGCTTTACAAAGAGAAATGCAGCCACTTCTAAAACAATACCTTGACAAGAAAGAATATGGTAAGTTTTTCTTCTCCCATATGTCAGTCAAGGTCCTCCTGCTTTTCTTTGGTTAAAACCAAACTAGGAGGCAGAAATCATGAACTCCTAGTGCCCATCCCCAGAGGGCAGCCTCTTGGTGCACACACAGCAGAGGGGGAAGTGGAGAGTGGGTCTGGAGGACAAATGAAGAAGATCCAGAACTTGGGTGAAGGACTTGTTTCTGCATTTGAAGTCACTGGGAAATCATGGCAACTTTTTTTTTATTAAGCAGAGACATATTTTCATTGAATTAGGTTTTAGGACAACAGTGGCAGGTGACTTGAAGTTTGGGTAATATAGAGAAGGAAGATCTTCTAAGAGGCCACAAGTCTGAACTTTCTGACATTGAGGTGTCATAGTGGATTGGAGAGGCTGGGGAAGCTGTTTGGTTGGACAATATTCAGTGGATGCATATATACATGTCTTTTATGCCAATAAAGTCACAGGGAACTGCTGTTTGAAGATGCACTTGTACCTCGTGCCATGTTAGTGAATCCAGTGAGGAGGCCCTGAGGGCCACACGCTGCAGCAGATTGCAGAAGAGTTTTGCTTTTGAAGTTAGAAACCCAAATATATGTAAAGAGTATTTGGTCTTTCCTCATTTCTATGAACATGGAAATTTCATATTAAAATCAAAGAAAGTCAGTTGCATATATAAAAGAGAAATAATTTTCTTCAGGGCTCTTATTTGAAAATCTCCATCAGGACTTTCTTCTTATCCATGGAAATAACAGTATCTACTTTAAAAGCTTCAACAGTGATGAAATTTTATGCTAGGAGTGGTAGCAATAATAATAATAGTTAATATTTATTGAGTACTTATGATGATCAAGACAGTGTGATTTGCATTATTGCCTTACTGATCACCACCAATAGCCCCATGAAACATTATTTATTATCCCCAGGTTGTAGATGAGGAAACAGAGGCTCAGACAAGTCCAATCTCATACCAAGAAGAGACAAAATTGATTCTGTAAGACAGTACTAACTGGCTCTGAAGCCTACACTCTTTATTTTTAATTCTCTATTGCATCTCAGTGGTAAATTATTCCAAGATTTATTTTACCCTCATTATTATCAATTGCCTTTCAATTACAGTCATCTCATGGTATCTGCAGAAAATTGTTTCAAGACTCCTTGAGAATGCCAAAATCTCTGGATTCTTAAGTCTAACATAAAAAGACACACCATTTACATTTAACCTATGTACATCCTGTCATATACTTTAAATCATTTATAAACTACTTATAACACCTAATATTATGTAAATAGTTTTATACAGACAGTTTTTAGCATTTTCTATCCATGATAGGTTGGATCTGTGAACGCAGAACCCATGGATAAGGAAAGCTGACTCTGTCTATGTGTGTGTGTACTTGTGTGTATTTTGTTTTGTTTTGTTTTGTTTTTCCTTAAATTCTTTTGTTGGTACATTTTAGGTATACAATACATTTACATTTACCATTGGGAACTTGTACCTTTACATGATGTATCTTGGTTCTTATTTTTTTCCCATTTCCTGCCCTCCCTTCACCCCCTCCACCCTTCCCTATGTATAAAGACTTTGTTTCCTTTTTTTCCATTTCTCATAATTTTTCCTTTCCCTTCTTTCCTTTCCCCTACCCCTCCCACTTCCACTACCCATTTGAACCTTTTCTTCCTATTTTGCATTATCAATTATTTATTTTAATCATTGGTACATTTTAGGTATACAATATAATGACATTCATCATTGGAAATTTGCACCTTTACATAATCTCTCTTTTGTGTATGTATTTAATGCATATGAAACTATAGTTGTTTCCAGTACTGCCATCAAATTCAGGCTTTTACTCATAATTAATTATTTATTGGATAAATAATTAAGAAATGGACCAGGCTTTGATTTAGTTGTTCAGGTCATAAGTAAGCGTGTACAAAATATGTATAGCAAATGTTTATACTGCTTCATTTTATCCTCCCCCAAACCCTAGGAGGGAGATAGTAATAGAGTTTGCCTGAGATTTGACAATAATAAACAAAATAGGAAAATTAGTCTCAGACTGAAAGTCTATGTTTACACTTGTTTTAATGCGTTCATGTAAAGTAGTTCTTCTAAGCAGAATTTTGTCTAGAGTAGCAAATTACCTGCTCATACTTTCAGGTTCATTTGTTCATTCCAAAAACACTCTTGAGTGGGGAGTGGTGGCACACACTTATAATCCCAGTGCTCTGGAAGGCTGAGGCAGGAGGATCAGAAGTTTGAACCTAGCCTTATTGACTTAATGAGACCTTGTCTTGAAATAAAAATAAAAAAGGGTTGGAGATGTAGCTCAGTGCAAAGGCCCTGGGTTTAATCCCTAGTACAGCCACTATCACCACCATCAAAACCTTGTTGACCAGCTAATATTTGTCAATTTCTCTTCTCCATAATGGGACATACTCAAGGTTGTCTTGAGATAACACTTCAGAGCAGGGGGAAAACTGAAGACCAGCCACATCCCACTGATACCCTCCCAGTTCTAGTAAAAAGTAAGTAGAAGACTGACTGAATTCAACCTTGACTTGGGAAAAGATATAATAACTTGACATTTTCCTAACCCTTAAGATGCAATTATTAATTCAATTTTGTTGACTTCATGGCACACTCATTATGCTCCTTGGTCCTAGTTTGCTGAACTACAAAATTTTGCATGCTGATACTAACTCTAGTCTAGTTCTTAGTTTCTCACTCCACTCAGAGGTCCAGAAAATCATTCTCATGTAAATGTTTCCTTTAAATCAGGTTATTTTGACCCAGAAGGATGTTCCCCCACCGCCATCCCACACTCCTAGGGCAGAGAAGCTGAGCCTGTCCCAGCACCCAGAAGGAAGCTCCCCTGCTGCCATCCCGCACTCCTAGGGCAGAGAAGCTGAGCGGTGTGGGCACCAGAAGCACCACCCACCCCTTGGAAATTAGAAGACACATAAACAAGCCTCAGAAACAGACTTCCAGATCGCCTACAGCAACCCCAAAGGGAAACGAGATGGAACAATCTGTTACTCAACCACCTGGACTCTCTGAACTGGCAACAAAAGAGGATCTGGGAAAAATGAAATCAGAAATAGTT